GAAATGGTACAATTGAAACAGCAAAAACAACAACAACCAAACCCCCGGGTCCACCCGGGCCCTCCCCTTGGCCCCAAAGGAACAATACTCAGGGCAGGTCGTGACCACTCCCTCCCCTCCTCTGGAAAAAGAATGTTGGTCTTACCGGAACGTGTCTTGAAAGAGGGGGGGAGGGAGGGGTCACGACCCGCCCTGAGTTGTGTTCCGTTGGGGCCAAGGGGAGGGCCCGGGTGGTCCCGGGGGTTTGGTTGTTTTTTTGTTGTTGTTTCAGTTATACCGTTTGACTTCGAGGAAACTGGGTTAGGACTGGAAAGCACCAATATTTAAGAGTTTGCTCTCAGTCTTTGGACCAATCAGGCTTTGAGAATATCCACATGTGACCACTCCCTTCCTCTTAAAAGACACGTTCAGGTAAGACCAACATTCTTTTTCCAGAGGAGGGGAGGGAGTGGTCACCTGTGGGACATACCCAAGCTATAGTCCCAGGGAGAGAGAACAAGAAACCACTAAGGCCCAAGGGGAGCATCAGCCGCCACCCACTGCAAGACTCTCTGACCAAATGACGCGTCTGGCGAAGCGAAGGCATCCAGACGAAAATGCCAGAGGAAAGGCGTCGGAGAAGCCCAAGTGGCCGCATGACAAATGTCATCAGACGGGGCCCTCGTGGCCCACACTGCCGTGGTCACGGCACCCTAGTAGAATGGACCGTGATGCCCAATGGGCCCGGACGACCAGCTGCACCTTAGGCTTCCGCAATGGCCTGATGCAGCCAATGGCCAATGGTGACCGAGGACACCCCAGAACCTAACGTTCCCGGCTGGAACGAAACAAACAAGGCCTCCAACCTACGGAGTCTCTCGGTCCGCCGGAGGTAGATCCGCAGAGCGCGGCACAAGACCAACCGATGCCAGAGCCTCTCCCTATCACTGGACGGGCCCGGGCAAAAGTCGGGCAGGACGATCTCCTGAGCCCTATGAAAGAGAGTGTTCACCTTCAGATGAAGGTAGGATCAAGGCGAAACACCACCCTGTCCTGGTGAAAATAGCAAAGGTCGTCCCTGGAAGACAGGGCACTCAACTCCGAAATACGTCGGGTGGAGGTAACCGCCACCAGGAAAGCCACTTTCAAAGACAAGAATCACAGATGAACAGACCAAAGAGGTTCGAATAGGGCCCCTGTCAAAGCCCTGAGAACCAGGGGAAGATCCCACGTGGGGAACCTGTGGATGTGGGGAGGCCGAGATTAGCCGTCCCCTTCAGAAAACGCTGAGGGAAACATGAGAGAGAGAAGAAGACCCCACAATCCCCAGGTCCGAAGACAAAGCCGCCACCTGTGAAAGCCCGTCGTCAAGGCCCTTCTGTAGGAAATCCAAGACGTTAGGAATAGTGGTCCTGTCGGGAGAAAAGCCAAGAGGAGAACACCACCGGACAAGGCCGCCCAGGTGGAATTGTAAATGCAGGTCATCGAAGGACGCCGAGACACCTCGAGGTAAGAAGGACCCCAGCGAACAGGTTAGCCCCCTTCAGCAGCCGCCGTTCAAGAGCCAGGTGGTCAGATGGAGCCACTGGGGCTCCTGGTGAAGCAGGACCCCCTGCTGCAAGACCACCTCCTCCTGCGGGATACTCCATGGAGGAGCCACTGACAGCTGGACTAGGTTCGTGAACCAAGGGTTCCTGGGCCAATAAGTGGCCACCACAATGACCAGAGCCTCCTCCGTTACCACCTTCCAGATGGTCCCCGGAATGAGGGGGACGGGAGGAAATGCATACAGAAGGCCCGCGGGCCACCTGCTCCTGAGGGCGCCTGGGCCCTCCGCAAACCAGGACAGGAAACGGGTGAAAAACCGGGGAAGTTGCGAGTTCGCGGGCGAGGTGAACAGATCCACCAGAGGATTGCCATACCTCTGACAGATCCTCCGAAACGACGGATGGAGTCGCCACTCACCATTGACCAGTCGCCCAACTCAGCCAAACCGCCTGGAAGTTGGAGAGCCCAGAGATGTGTTCCGACACTAAGGACAACAGGTGCCTCTCCGCCCAGGCGCCCAGTCTCAGAGCCTCCAGCCAGAGAGCCCGAGAGTGGGTCCCCCCCTGACGATTGATGCGGTCCTTGGTGGCCACATTGTCCATCAGGAGTATATGACGCCCCACCACTAAAGTCTGAAAGTGTCACAGAGCCAGGTGGGCCGCCTTCAGCTCCAACCAAGTGATGTTGTGGCAGAGATCCGAAATCGACTACCTGCCCTTTTAAAATGCCCAATTAAACCAAATGAGACCAAATTGGAATAAATAGAAATCCTACCATGGAATATTCTCAAACAGTACTTGGACCAAGAAAGACTGAGAGGAAACTGTGTTAGGACTGGAAGGCACCAGTATTTAAGAGTTTGCTCTCAATCTTTGGACCAATCAGGCTTTGAGAATACCCACACGTGACCACTCCCTCCATTCCTCTGGAAAATCAGCATATTGTCCCCAACAATCCGGGTCCTCATTTTACTGACCTCAGAAGGATGGAAGGCTTAGTCAAAGCCTTACAGATACCAAAAATGATACCTTAAAGACACCTTGCTTCCAGTGAGCAATATGTCCCTTACCCATTTAAGAAATGCAAATGCCTTTTATTTCTCCAGAATGAACTGACAGGAAAGTGATGTTGAATTTAACAC